TAAGAACTGTGCTTGCTACTTGGGGGAGTCCTGCAAAGATGCTCCTCCGACAGTGTCATTCCAGACATTCCTATAGACAAGCACCCACGCTTCACTTGGCTATCGCCTTGAACAGCACGGCTTCAGGGCAATTTAGATCGCTGATCGGCGAAAGGTGCAGCCATCTTAAGTATTATTCGTCAGCATAAGGAAAGACTCTTGGTGCCCAAACCATACTTCCAAAGAACTTGAAGGAACTCGCTCAAGTGGTTAGCTCTACAGATGCCAGTTTCTGATAGACTCAACATGTTTGCATGTGAAGTATCGATGTCGTCTGAGAGCAGCGGCAGCAGTACGAAAATTGGCCTCCAGTGAAAGATGCCACCTGTGAGGGATCTCTGCTTGCATCCTTTTGGGTCAAACCCCTTTACAGGTGCTGCAAGCGCAGAAGCGCTGAAAGCTTTGCAGCAGGCTGGGCAAAGTCGAAAGGGCCCTTGTTTACGTGTTCTATTTGGTCAGTTGGCAGGAGACCTACTTCCCATTCTGTCTTGCCCTTCTTGGGAGTCTTTCGCAGACAACCCCTTTGATGTAGGAATGTTGATTGACAGAACATATGGTGTACAGACTGGAGTGAGCTTCAGGATCGGAGCAGGAAGGTAGGTAGCCACAGGAGCCCAGATATGGGTTTGACGACAGGTTGTTGTTCGGGCATGGGCTTTTGGAAAAGTGCATGCCTCTGAGACTTTTAGAAAGGCACTCCTTTGGGAAGGGCTCTTGGCTCGCGTTCTGAGCTTGACACGGACTTAGAAAGTGCTGGTATGTTGAGACAATAAGATGAAGCGGAAGGTTGGGTGGTGTTCCTTCAAGGTCTTGTGAGCAGTAGGATGTCTGGGAACTGGCTAGTAGCTGAAAACGGAATTCGTGACCCTCATTATGCGCACTTGAGTACATGAGCCAGGATGAAAGAAACCAAGGAAGCAATTCCGGAAAAGTCAAGGCGACATATTGAATAGCCTCTAGTGCTCCTGAAGACCCCAATCAAATTTCCCAACCCAAGTTCTAGCTCGAGACCGGAAGCTTCAATTTCCCAAACGCAGTAACTCTGAACCCACAAGCCCCAAATAAGAACACACTCACCCAAAGGGTCCGAAGTACCCATATTGGGGAATACTTACCCAAACCATAAGGGAAATTACTACTACAGAAACCATACTTTGTACCATATAAGACCTCTGGACCCTTTGGGTCAACACCCACTCCACGGCTCTTTCAAGCCCCATTTCCCCCCCAAGACTTCGAAGTGAGCTTGTGTGCAGGAAATCCAGGCCGGCTTCCAGTCTCTGGTTTGGGTTCTAGTCCCCTTAAGTAGATAGAATATGGGGTTTAGGGTTAGGCGTTATAGTTCCCCTTAAGTAGATAGAATATTAGGGTTATATTGGGGTTATATAGGGATGATGGAAAAGAAGATGGAAACTGCTATTTAGGGTTTAGGGTTTAGGGTATAGTCCCTCTTAAACGGACAGAATATGGCTTTGGGTATATTTATTATAATAAGCTCCCCATATACCCCATATTCTATCTATTTAGGGGGAAATATACACGGGTCGAGGATTTAGAGCCAAGGGAGTAGGGCTTAGCGTTTTGGGGTTGTGAAATTCTGAACTTCAAGTAGTGTCATTTGATGCATTGATAATACGATCACTATGGGGTTCGGGCCCAATGAACTTGTTTGCTTTTTTTCGTTTAATGGTGGACATCGATATTGCTCTGCTGCAAGCGCTTTTGTCATACCAGTTTTGCCATGAGGTGTTGCTATCAGATCAGCTTTGCATAGCTTTGCCATTTTTGATACAAGTGTACTGTAACAACGCCAGTGGTATTTGGTTAGTAAACTAGCGGTTTGTGCGAACATCCTTGTCAGCATTGTTTGGTGCTCCTCGAACGGTCATTCTTGGTAACAAGACTACTGCCACCACTATTACTTCAAAGGGGAACGCTTGAAAAAACGAGGGATTTCTCATGGCGAGTTCAGGGCTTTTGATTAGCAGCTTGATTCTGGTTTTCGGGGCAAGTTTCCCTACAAGGGTTGCGCCCAGAAAGCAACGCCACACCTGAGCAAATTCTGGTTTGTATAGAGTTGCAGCCAACGACGTCTAACTGCTGGAGGTTTCCTGGTACATGTTCATGTGATGGCCATTTGGAACCAGGACACGGAACTGGGCGAGCGCCCCCAACACCTTCCAGAGTGCAGAGAGGAGATTTGCTTGTTTTTGGTAAAGTAGAGGTGCCGTCTCAAGAACTTCAAGGTCCATAACAGGGAAATCTATTGTTGAAGGAAGCTTGCTGCGCGTTGCTACAACCGTGGCCTCCACCATGGCGCACCATTAGTCGTGTCGAGTTATCCGGGCAATCCTAGTTTCCTGCACAGTCCGACAACATGTCTTGGCCAAAGCTTTCGTTGAAAGTCACCCCTTCGAACTGCTGCCCTCGCCAGAATCTCTTAAGCCCTGTCTGTCCCATCCACCAAATTGGCTCTTAAGGGAATAAGGGAACAGAATCAGTATATAGTCCCCATATAATGCTTCCCCATACTTCCTGCTCAGAACCAGTAAGCCAATGAACAATTACCTGCCGGCAGGGTCTGCGTGAGGAGGCCAGGCCTGGGCTTTGCGGCGCAGTCTTACAACTAAGAAGTGCAAGCGTGGGCTTTTAGGCTGTAGCTGTTGTTGATGCTGGCCGCCTAGCCAGATGGGCTATGACTCCACTTCATCACTGCCAGGTGATAGTTTGGGTACCTGAGCTAGCAAGTTGGGATCACAGCTCGTATAGTGATTTTAATGGTAGACCTGCAATGCTTACGTCAAAGCCAGGCATGTATTGACATGACATGGCTGACACCTGGGTCCTGAGGCACTTGCTACAACAAAGATTAGGATTCTGGGCTGTGATGCTGACACCTGTTGCATAGACAGCTAGCAGGGACTGAGCCCCGCAATCTTGCCAGGACTCTTACAGATTTGTTCTGCCCTTTCCTTGGCCATCCCTTTGGGTGGCCTTCACTTACTGGAAGACTTCGCCCCCAGACTCTCCTCCCCCAAGATCCTGAAATTCCACAACCCTCAAGTCACAGATTGCTTCGTACTGCCTTTCCCCTGCTCAGATCCGGCAGCACAAAGCTTCGTCTGATGACATCCAGCGGAATTGCGAGGAAGCGTGCAGGGCAAAATGCAAAATTGTTCCAGTTTCAGGGTATCATTTGGGCCTGGAGCCATCCATGCTGCACCCCAACATGTTGGCATGTATATGCCTCTAGCGCTTCCTATATGGGGGGGGTTCCCCAAATTGGGGGTACCTTTTTGGCGGTCCCTATAATTAAGAAGGATTCTGGTATTTTGGGATCTATGTTGGGGTCTTTCTATCTAAAGAAATTACCAAATGAACCCCACTGCCATGAGGAGGTGAGAGGAACACTCTCGCGAATCATCGCTATGGCCGAGCAAAACAGCGAGCAGCGGCGGAGAAGAGGCTTACGTAGACAGGAAGGGTAGGTTGAGTTCGAGGGTTGTTGAGGGCAGTTCCGGGCTCCAGTGCTGAGAGACTATATGTGGGCGTGGCAGGGTTTGAGGTTGGGGAGGATGTAGATTGTGGTAAATAGCGCCTTTCTGTGCACCATGTAGGATTCTGGCTGGTGTAAGGTGTGGGGGAGTGATGTTTTTGTTCTCGAAAATGATGAAGTGATTTTGATAGGGCGCGCCAGAAGCCTTTTTCGGGGTTGTCAATGCAAAGCTATGGCACTTGATTGCGCATAGTCAGGGACTTGCCCGAGCAGTATTCGCTAATTCAGTCTGCCATACCTCGCATCTTGTGCTACTCCGTACAGCCTCCGTATTCTTCAGGCTGGGCTATCACACATTTTGCCCTGATCTCAGTTACTAGGAAGCTGTTCAAGCTAAAGCCTACATTTTGCCCTGATCTCTGTTACTAGGAAGCTGTTCAAGCTAAAGCCCTCACCTTCTCTCTTTCTCTCTGAGAATCCGCCGAGACGATTCCCGAACCTGTGTTTAGCCTGTGCGTTGATTTCAAAAGATCTGAGCCTTAGAGCAGCCGGCCCTGGAAACAGTTCTGTCACAGGGCCACCTAGCAGCTTTGCCGCAGACCCTCACGAAGGCGGCGGATGAGGGTGGGATAAGAAGCTTGGGATTCTGTACGGTAGGCATGGTACCTCAACCATTGGACTCCAACCATTGGACTCCAACCCCTCCGGGGCTAAGCACCTCAACCCTTTATCCAGTGTTTGTGCATCAGAGCAGTTTGTTGGTGATGAATAGTAGTAATACTACCAACTATGCTGACAACAGTATTTTGATTGGTGGATAGTAGTTATGATACTACCCAGAACATAACAATAACAGTATAAATATACTATTATTTGCCGTGCTGCAACATTACCAATACCATTAAGAGAAACAGTGATGGTATCAGTAACCGCTTTGAACATAGACATTCTGATAATGCTAGTAACTAGTACTAAGCGCACTAACAGAAACAAGTACCATAAGTCAGTTCTATTACCAGTACTACTGCGGACAGTCTGAAAAGCAGTCATAGTAATATCAGTGATATAAAAATGTATATATATATATAGCTAGACTAGCAATAACAAAGATCATAATTCTAGCGACAGGTGCCGGAGCGTTTCCGCCACCTACTGGCACAGGCCTCCGAAGACACACAAGACCTTATAAGGGTCTGACTCAGATAGGTTAAGGGTGCGGGGTGCAGGGTTCAGGATGTAGACTTCAGGGTTCAGGGAATAGGGAAAATTGATAATGATAATGTATGCCCAGAAGGGTTCCTGTACAGGTTCTGTTGAGCCAGAATACACTCTATTCAGGCGCCGGAACCCTTAGGGAAGATGCAGCTGCTTTGATCTGCATGAGGCACTTTTGTTGAAAGCTGATGTTACGGACACCCGAGCTGTGGGAAATCCCGTAGCTATGTCTAGCTCTGTAGTTTGAGAAATGCACAGTCTGAAGCCATGGACAGTTGCGAGATGTGCTTTCCCGCCCCTGTTCTGGCGGAATGGCTCCACGATTCCCAGAGCACCCAAGTGGTGGAGGGCCGGGCATGCACGGCAGCGGCCGGGAAGCATTGCCGAAGCCGAGCTCCTCTCGCACCTGGCGCTGCTGCTGCAGCCTGATGTGCCCATCAAGGAGGTCTTCCGGAACTTCCCGGTGGAGAAGAGTGAGAAGTGGGGCAAGAATCAGGTGAGCCCAGACATGGCTGTTTATGGTGCTTTGAGATTGAAAGAAGCGGCGCTGTTTCTGGAGTATGACGGATACTATCGGCACCACACCCCCGCAGGCATGCTTGCGGATGTGCGCAAGAGTGAGGTGCTTCTTAAGCACGCACCGGCAGGATCGTGCGTGTTACGCATAGCCCATGCCCAACGCGACCTGGAATGGGCTTGCGAGACAAGGGAAGTGACCATAGATTCATGGCAGGTGGGTCACCATGAATCGGTCCTGATGCCAGTTATTCAGGTCATCAGGCAGTTGCTTAACCACTTGAGTGCTGTACTACGGCCTGAAATGAGATCAAGTTTGCAGCGCTTTCTTGCTAGGCCTGAGGAATACCTGAAGCCTGCAGCTGCAGCTGCGTTCACGGCGCACCTGATGGCAGAACGCTCGCCTAGCAGAAATGTCGGTAGTGTAGAAGAGGTTCTATGGACACAGCTCAACATGGCCTGGCCACAGCAGACTGAGCTACGAGGTGGACTTGGAAAGAAGAGCGAAGTGCTGGTTCCATACAGCTCACACGGCAAGTTTGAGGCCATGCTTCAGTGGCTTCAAGATTTGGGCCTGCAAAGGACAGAGGTTGGGAAAGTACTTGTTCGATGTCCAGCCGTTTGGAGACACAACGTTGAAGAGAACCTGAGGCCCACAGTCCAGTGGCTTCGCGACACGGGCTTGACAAAGGTGGAGGTTGCAAAGGTCATTGCCAGATGTCCAAATGTCTTGGGACGAAGCATGGAAATGAATTCGAAGGCAAAGGTGCAGTGGCTTCGAGACACGGGCTTGACAAAGATGGCGGTTGCCAAGGTCATTGCGAGACATCCAGCCGTTTTGGGATGTCGCATCGAAGAGAACCTGAAGCCCACAGTCCAGTGGCTTCGAGACACGGGCTTGACAAAGATGGCGGTTGCCAAGGTCATTGCTAGAAGTCCAGCCGTTTTAGGATATAGCATCGAAGAGAACCTGAAGCCCACAGTCCAGTGGCTTCGAGTCACGGGCTTGACAAAGGTGGAGGTT